ATATATACTTTTAAATACATCTAATCTGTACTTAAAATGAAAATGATGGGATTAAAGTGAACTGAGTTGGTTGTGCAGATGTTTAGATCGTAATGCATGACTTACCTTCGCTGCTGTTGCGTCAAATTCAGCGCAGAAGACTCTGAAGTGTGATTGCGCGCGGCGCGTCGCGTCCTCTCGTGGGGTCTGTGCCTGTGCGCGCTTTTATTCCACACATTCCCACCACACGATAACACGTAACCCGATGGCAAATGTCCGCGGATTCTTAGAACGAGTTCCCCTCGAGCTCAGAATAAACACGTGTTAAAATTACGATTGCTGAATTACTAAGAGATGGGCTCTTTTCCCCTCTCTGTCATCACTCTTATTATAGACCAGTTTCATAAGTTAGAATTGTGCGATCTTAACAGTAGTAGGATATAGTATAGTAGGCTCTTTGGATAAATGAACGATTGTTTCCCCTGTACTTAAAAAAAAGTAAATAGTAAATAAAGATTATTTGAGAGCAGGTGTCTTATAGACGCAGTAGTTATAGCCCAGACTGGAGTGTGTAAATACTATTTCAGTCCTTCTACATCAAAATTTCACTTTTAATTTAATATGTTACTTGCTGTATCCGCTGTAATTAACTGTGAAATTTACTAGCAATTTCAGTGCAGTCTGATGATTACATGCCCATGTAATTTTACATTCTATAAACTGCTGAAATATCTAAAGCCTACTATACTATGGGTTAACAAAACAAAGTGAATCATAAAGTCCCTTAAAAATGAGGAAACACATCTCTCCCCTTATAATATTTACTATGCTGTTAAAGCATAGTATATATTGCAGTGTCAAAATGAATTTTCTTTTATTAAGAAGCAATATTTTAAACTTATTTTGTCACAATAAAGACTAGAATCTATTGAAAGAAATGTTTTAATCATTATGTTGATTATAGCTCTATATTGCAGCTGTCACGGATTGTTAATTCAATCCCATTTTTGATCATTCTGTTATCTTTTATCTTCAAAGCATTTACAGTATCTTCAAAACGACACTTTATATTTGCTATATATTCAATAACACTTGCCTTTGAGATATTCATTTTTAATAAATTGCATATTTTAAGGAGAACGCAACACTATCAGCTTTATTCGATTATAAACATTGTGTGCATAGCTGCTCTTTGTTACTTGGAGTATCTTTTTCATTCTTTTTCTAATCAGTAACTGAAAAATAACAACATCTGTTGGATGCATTCCAGAGCCTGAACTATCTCAGTTATGTCTGTTTTAGCTTCAATCAGGAACAAGAGAGAACATGTAATGGGTTGGAAGAAGAATCTGAGATAAGAAAATTTGTTACGTTTTGTTCTTGCAAGAATTTTGTTCTTGTCTTCGATCAAAATCAGTCAACCAGGACATGACTAGACTTTTAACCACAAGTGCAAATATAAAGACTATTAGAGAGAAAAATAGGGAAGCGAGAGAGTTACAAACATCAAAGGAAGATGTAAAGTTCAGCGAGTTTCACCAAATTCAGAGTGCTTACACTTTTGTCTTATAAATAAAAGTTATATAATGGTCATATATAAAATGGTCATAATTCAGAACAGTCTCTTTCTTGCTCAGTCTGTCTGAATTCTAGATCAAATATCGTGTCTGAATTTCCCCTTAAATAAATGTGTGACAGAAACCAAATTTGATGTAGTTAAAGGAGATAAGACACCTGATAAATATCTGTGGTTAAGGCAGTGTAAATGTGTAGTACAGCAGTTCCTCTGTTCAGGCTTTGCTTTGCAAATGAACTGAACACTGCACTTCTGTATGCTGCGCTGAGGGAAACTGTGCAAGGTGTAGGCGGCTGGCAGTTTTGGGTATTTCAGGAGATGAAACATGGATGTTTTATTGCATTGTGTGTATGTTTGTGAGTTGGTGAACCTGTGCGTGTTAAACCGATTCCTTATAGGCCTGTGTAAGAGTTTTTTTTTTAAAGGGAAAAGGGCTGACATCATTCTGGCAGCCCCCTGATGTCAGAGACGCAACACTTTCCTTAGTAGATATCAGTCATTAGGTGTTATTAAAATTCACTCGCCAAGCCGTGAAATTTCCTCAAGTGCATATTATGATGGAAATGACATATTTCTTTGCCTTGACACCCTTTTCTCTGCCTCACACACGTGCCACTAATTCCTAAAATTAGAAAGGGGTATTGAAACTCAATTTGGGGCAATTTGATCCAGTAAAGTGTTTTCAGTCTAAAGGTGCAAAGCTGATTTTTTTTTGTCGCAACTTTAAATAACTTGGCTATCTTATGAGGAACTCGGACTGTGATTCTCCCCTTTGTATATGTGCCCACGTTCTGAAAGCACCAAAGGGCACGTAGGTACTTCTGCTATGAAAAATGCTATTTGACTAATTAATGCTAAACTTGGTGTTTCTGTTTCACTTAGGATAGGACATAGGCCTATGCCGAGGAAGGCATATTCTGAAAAGTCAAATGCACTGTTAATTTCTAGAAAGCCAGAATTGGCCTGTCCCTTGTCTAAATATCATGTGCATGAAAGTACCGAATAAGGCCAGTCACTTCTCGCTGTACTCTTTCATTTGGGTCACAAATAAACATGCTGTACATTCCTGTTCACACATTTACCTCTGTAACCTCTCGACACTTCCTCTGACAATATTGGGGTTATAGTTAAAAAAATTATCAAGTCAAAAAAATATTTTAACAGCTCTGTTTTTGTTTAATTGAATGTTGAAATAAACTCATTCATACTTTCTGTACATATTAAAATCATAATTTAAGCAGAAATTTACAACATTAAATAGAAATGTACTACTGTAAAATCATAATAAATTAAACTGGAAATCTACTGTTCTATCGTTGCTTCTGTCATTCTATCGTATCTATCGTTCTATATTTTTTTCTCGCTGTACTCTTTCATTTGGGTCACAAATAAACATGCTGTACATTCCTGTTCACACATTTGCCTCTGTAACCTCTCAACACTTCCTCTGACAATATTGGGGTTATTGTTCAAAAATCTATCTATCTATCTATCTATCTATCTATCTATCTATCTATCTATCTATCTATCTATCTATCTATCTATCTATCTATCTATCTATCTATCTATCTATCTATATTTCTATCTATCTATCTATCTATCTATCTATCTATCTATCTATCTATCTATCGTATCATTGTATTGTATCATTCTATCATATCTTATCGTTCTATCGTATTGTATTGTTCTATCAAATCGTATCTATCTATCTATCTATCTATCTATCTATCTATCTATCGTATCATTGTATTGTATCATTCTATCATATCTTATCGTTCTATCGTATTATATTGTTCTATCAAATCGTATCTATCTATCTATCGTATCATTGTATTGTATCATTCTATCATATCTTATCGTTCTATCGTATTATATTGTTCTATCAAATCGTATCTATCTATCTATCGTATCATTGTATTGTATCATTCTATCATATCTTATCGTTCTATCGTATTATATTGTTCTATCAAATCGTATCTATCTATCTATCGTATCATTGTATTGTATCATTCTATCATATCTTATCGTTCTATCTTATTGTATCGTGTTCTTCTATCGTTCTGTCTATCATTCTGTCTTTCGTTCTATTTATCTATTGTTTTATCTGTTTTTCTATACAGTATATATATATATATATATCATTCTATCTATAGTTCTTTCTTTCTGTCTATATTTTATTTGAACTTTAAAATGACATGATATATGGCTATATCTGTTTCCTATCTCTTTTAACATTGTGTAGGCCTATACAATAAAATGTTTAGGCTGATATCAGAAAATGTTTTTACTGTATGTTTTACTGTAAGTTGACATATGTATATATTTATTCTAAGGATTATAAAATCTAACTTTAAAAAACTATAACACTTTTTATGCTTTGTACAACATTTTATTGGCAAAATATGCATTTATATAAGGTGAAGTTTCCAGGCTCCAGTCAAGATATTACAGTTTTTTTACAATCATTTTTGCACTAATAACAGAACCTTCATGTCATTTTTCAAAACTCTAGACACATAATTCACAACCGCTGATCAAAATCATTTTTCAAAACACTTAACACTTTTTCCAAATGCTTGGATACAATACGCATGAACCAAAGACTTTTTGTTCATTGAACTAAAATCACCGGTTCCAAATGACACAACTTAACATCAAAGTATTACTAATTCAAAATGCAACTCGCCCATTACATCTGAATTGAGTGTCTATTCATTTCATTACAATTATCAATTGATACAACTGCTCAAAATGCAACATAACTGTTGCATTACTCTTGAAGCATAGTTTTTATGGAAAATAATGAACAATATTAAATGTTTAGATTATGAAAGTGAAGCAGCTGAGGACTGAGTATGTTCAGGTATGATCAGTTTCAAGTTGCCTGTTGATGGGAGAGAAAAAATCCCCCCAAAAATCTATATAATTGTTATCAGTATTTGTTTTTCCTACAATAAATGTATTTTTAGGGGGTGATAGAGCTGGAAGCTGATGAAAACCATTTATATTTTTGGATGAGGCATGCTTTAACCTGGCCATGACATGGAGCCCAGTGGTTGAGAGCAGCCCAGAACGATGTTCGCTGCATGGGGGGCCTGACCACCCCCCACTGAATGTGATTTTGAGGGGCCCCATAGCAAAATCAGTGCAATGGGCCCAGAATTCCTATAGCGATGGCACTGAGAGCAATCATGGTTTCAGGCCCATCCACAGTGTACTCCCCTTTCCTTACTGTAACCCGACTGAAGAATTTCTCCATATGGAGGTGGAATGTTTACAATAAGCGCCCTCACAAACAAGTCTCTCTTCTCCATTTGCCATGCCAGAAGATTTTTTCCAAGATGTTTATCTAATGAAAACATCCATTATGATGTGGATGAGAACTTGTGGCCAAATCCACAAGACAGGGTTGATAAAAACATAGAAGTGCAGTGAGCAACACTTACTGTATGCCTACTGTAGTATTTTTCTTATCTAATTTTTTCTTAAAGTTTTTTTTTTTTCAAACCTGTTGTGAGTTGATTATTTCATCAATAATTTTAAAATGTTGTTTAATGATTCCAGCGTCTGTACTTTTCTCTCTAGTCTATTACAATGATGTATGAATGTGTACCATAATGAAAGCTGCATCATGTGCTTATATTTAATGATTGTACTAAAAA